ATTCTATGATTCTATGATTCTATTCTAAGTAGCAAACAGATGCATTTGGCATTGGCGTTAATGGGATTTTGAGCTGCTTTTACAGCTTAAAGCTACATAATAAATGTGCTTTTCTCCCCAAAGAAAATCTGAAATATATTTATTTATTTTAATTGAAACGGAACTAAAGAGTTAGGTGGGGGAGGGGGAGAAAGAAGGTAAATCTGACGAAGAACATCTTCATGAACACGATAGAGAGATAGCTTTGTGGAGATGCTTGTGGAGTTAAAGGCCTTTCTGGGTGAAACATAGGAGGGAGGGAATCGAAACAGACATCTTTTGAACATGCTTTAAAGCATCCCCTGATCAATACATTTCTAGTTAGAGATTTAAGACTTCTGTCCAACAAAGTTGGCTGCATACCTTTGTTCAGTAAAACAGTTAAGCATATGTGGAATTTTAAGAACAGGCTCATGTGATGTCTGTATAGGAATGTTTTCTTAAGGCTAGGAACTCATTTTATACTTCAGAAAATTTACTTTAAAAATCATAGCCATAGGGAGGATTAGTTTTGTGCAATTGTCTGAAATACCAAGAAATCTTTAGCTTGAGCAGCTGAAGGATATATCCATGACAGTAAATTTACAGATATTTTTAAAGTAATTTTTCTGGTTTGCTTTTTTTTTTTTCTTTTTTTTTTTTTTTTCCTTTTTTTTCTTTTTAAAGAAGCTTGAGAATAAAAGTAGTTGTTTGAATAAGCTGTCTGCTGTAACAGTCCTTTAAGGAGTTCTTACTTAAATGATTATTATGTTGACTAATTTCACAAGCTTAGAGCTGCTCGAATGAGTGCTAGCACTTAGTATGTCCTTCAAGTTCAGTGTTTCTATACAAATATTTTGAGTTCTGGGAAAGATGAATACTTGCTGTTTGTGCAAGCATCAGTCTTTTTAGTGTTAAATGGTATACTTTCTAACCATGAGAACAATGAAGTTATGAAGTTTTACAAAGACTTATAATTCGAAGTACAGAATCAAGAAAACTCCAAACTATTAAGAAGGAGATTGATTATATACAAAGAAGGCTTTATAATGTGACATCTGAAATATCAGGGAACCAGACTGAAGGAGTCTGGCAGTTTCTTTTCAGTGTTATGTACCTATTCTGGAAAGGATAGCAGAGCTTTCTGATAAAACTGGCCAAAATCAGTCCCATTAGATACTGGATATTCTGTTAATATTAACTACTCAAATGACTTTTCAGAAAAAGATGTGGCTGTGGGTTACAATGTATTAACTTCAGCTGGGCTTAGTTCAGAACCATTAGCTTTGGTGGTAGTGGCTGACATTCAGCTAGACTGCAGCTTGGATCGCTTGTCCAGTACCTACCACCGAGTTTGTAATGGGCAGCTGAAAACAAAAATCCAAATAAAATTATAGGAGTGATCTCACTAGAAGAGTGTATACTGCTGAAAGGAAGGCTGGGAGAAGCTTTTCTTTTGCATGTGCTGTAAACACAAAATCAGAAATATAATGTTGCATAGAAATGAAACTCTAGAGCCATGAGCTTTATGAGCAACTTTATAAAACAAATGCATATTTTCATAATTTTTTTTAAGTCTCTTATGTGGCTTTTTAGATCATTCCACACATCTTGTCTCCTTTTGCTTTTAAAAAATTTAAAGATAATTTCTAAACCAGTCTTGTTATTTAATATGCCTACTTCATGCATGCACATAAACTTTGAGTTTTTCATGCTTCTAGCTTTATTTAATCACAAAATGTCCCACCTTTCCCTATTTTTAAAACAGTTTCTGTCTCAAGTAGGAGCTACTTCCCTGTTATATTTCAGTTTTGCTTTAGACCCTGACAGGATAGATTTTTTAAAAGGAGAAAATTATTTTTATTGCTGTCAATCGTTTTTACATTCTTCTTTTTAACAAAAAGCAATTAACATGCTTATGTTCAAATCTTTTAGATAACAGCAATCACAAAGGTGGACATGAGAACTGAAGAAGTTTTAGTCTTGAAAATAAAAGTTTAGGGAAGTCAAAAAGGCCTGTTCTAATGAAAAGTTTTGGATAAACTTAGCTGGTGCTGTCCTGATGCATTCCAGTTTATAGCGGTTGATGTACTTTTATATCTGTATGCAAAAATAACTTTAATTACATACTCACTGAAAAGAAAGAAAATCCTGTCTTTTCGATATAGGTTGTTATCAGAATACCAGATGTGAGCACTATCAAATATAAGATTCATTTGTTCATTTTTTTTAAATTAAAAAAAAAAGAAATTATGTTTATTAAAAACCTTCATCCTACATTTACTGTCCAAGTTGATAAGAAGTGAAATAACAAATTTTTTTAACCTATTCCTGATTTTCTAGCTCAAATAGAGAGGTTATCAGAAACTACAGCTGTTTATGAATGGGCTACTAAGGGGTTGCTAATGCAGGAGAGGAGAATTAGGAAGGAAGAAAAGAACTGCCTGAGAGTAGAAGCTCACATAAGGAACGGAGGTGGATCTGCAATAAAATCTAAACAGAATTCTACTGTGCCAGGAGCTGGAAATACCAAATGTCTTAGGTTACAACCTATTTAATTACATTTCTGAACAGAGGCTTAGTAAACCTCTACACTGATATATCTGGATGCTGAACTGTTATAAACTCTTGATGCTTGGCATTTGCCCATGTAGTGATATTCAGTGACCTACCTGAGGTATGTGTCGTATCCAGTTCTTGATGGCTGGGTAATGGCAAGGCTTGATTGTCTCGGATAATCTCTACCAAAGAGAGAGTCATTTATTTATGGTTTGCAAGTGAAAGTTGTTATAAGCGAAAATAGCCAATTTACAGCTTTACAAAGAGCAGTCCACCTTACATGCAGATAGTTTAAAATAATAAATTGTGATTATCAGGTAATATACAATCAATAACAGATTCACTGTGGTTAATTGGCACAGAGTGTACATTGTTAACACAGCATGATTAATATAGCAGCACAAAGTTTTCATGTCCCAAGAAGCTAGGTGTTTTGTTTATTTGTCCCAGGAGAGGGGCGCAAGCAGGTGACAGGCAATAATTTGAACTGGAAGAGACGAAATCAGATGAAACCTACTTACAAATGCACTCTGAGTTTGTGTCTTCGTCCAATAGGCACATCAAGTGGGAAAGCCCAGGAACTGAGACGCAAGTGAAAGCACATCCATTTCTTTATTTTTAAATGAGAGGGAACAATCACAAGGCAGCAAGTTACTTCTTTATAGATTTCTTTTTGAAAAAAAAATGTTGCATTTCCAAAGAAATCACACAAATAATTAGCATACATGTTGTTATGAAGATAGCTGCTGCAAAAATCTATTTCAAAGAGCTTCTAATCAGTCTTTTTACCAGAATACCATTTGAGCTAGTTTCAGACACTACTTATTTTCTCTTTAGTTTACAATCCTTCCCTTCTGCATCCCAATTGCTTATAGCAGTCTAATGCCGGATCAGCCCTTAAGGAATCAAAGATATTTGTTTTCCCTCCTGAAACCCACAATCAAGCACTTGGCATTAGTGGCTAAGTGATACCAAGCTAATTAATGATAACAGACATAATTTTGCATCCCCTGTATAAAGATAGAAGAGAACTAAATCCAGAAAAATGACAGGATGTATGTGCACTACCTGATGACTTTTTCTTCTTTTGTCTAATTCTTTATTCCCCTTTGTTTTGCTTCCTTATGTGATCATCATTAGACAAGAAGCTAGAAGAGCTGGAAATTGGTTGAAAGCTTATACTATTGATACTGTGGCAAGTTTTGTCATTGATTTAAATGGGAGCAAGCTCAAGCCTTTGGTATTACTCCTAAGAGTCAAGACTAGAATTTTATTTGGACAGATACTGAAGAGGTCCTATGATATATTCTGAAGAGAGAAAGCTCAGGGATTTACAGACATTTTCACACGTCTTCAGGCACAGATTTCTTAAGCAGTGCCAGGCAGCAGTATTGCAATGCTCTGACAATATAAACAGTCACAGGCAGTTGACACAAAGTCATTTCCATCATTTGTAGGATGTTTAGAAGTAGCAGCATTGACTTTTTTTTTAATGCTCAGTTTAAATGCTTGATTTTTTAAAAAATGTAGGCAGTATATGCTTACATATCTGAAAATACCAATTCACTATTTTTAAAGTTATCTCCCTTAGCTGATACAAGGTTTAAATTACATAAGTGTATAGTATTTTCTCCATTCTGTTGAAGGATGCTTAGGAACAAGTGAGGAACTACCAGCTCTACAATACTTAAAACTCCTTCTATTTTTACTCGGAGAAGCCAGAAAATTTGCAATGGTGAAAACATAATTATAATATATGTCTTTTCCTCTCCTTTTATATCATTTAGATATCAGCATGAATCAATTCCAAGTCCACTGGTTACTGGAGTCCTGTGCACACAATGACACCAAAGGACGTGGGAAAGTAACTGAGCTGACTTATGTAAGTCTCCATTTAGCCTTCTGCTTGACTCTGAATAGCTTCTAAGCAGCAAGGGAAAGGATTGTTCTGTAAAATAACACAGTATGCTTTATACCATGTTTCATAGATGAGTAAGATTATTTCTTTTTTATGTTCCTCTTCAGCAAAAGATAAAAATGATGCATCTGGACTGTTTTGGGTTGGTTTTTTTGGTTTGGTTTTTTTTTTTTTAAATCCACACTAGGCTAAAATCTTTTTTTTTTGTCGGTGTTATTCAGACAACAAGAGCAGGCAAACAAAATTCTTAGCTAAGTACTTGTATATTTTACAGCATATAGAACATGGAGCTTTGTCTATCATTAGTACTATAGGACTCTAGCACAGTGCAAATACTGAACAGTAATAATAGTACTTAATAAACGAGGTTTTCTTTTAGACATGCAGGTGGGTTTCACAGCCCTGAGGAAAATAATAGAATAAGAAAAAAGGACTGTAGGTGAGAAATACTAGACATTAAATCTGGAAGTCAGACAGATATCAGATAAGGAGAAAAGCTCCATGTAAGTACATGTCAGCCCACATATATACTGCAGTGGCAGTTCTTTGTACTCAATTTGTTGGCAATCTAGTGTCATCCATCTCTGTAACATATTATTTGAACAATAACGCGATTGGTGCATCACGATTTAGTGGGTTATGGAGAATGGAAGAAATCACAATTCACCTTTCCTTCTTGCCCTGATCTATACTACTGGATCAATTCAGTGAAGTTAATGACATGTAAAAGTAGAGTAAATCAAAAGACATCATTTCTCATACAGAAGGCTGTTAACTTGTAAGATTTACTGCTTCATGGGGTCAGCAAAGCAAATATTAGAGGTGGATTAAAAAAATGATTGTGACATAATGTTATGATCAGTCCCAATATTTCAAGTTATGCACATTGAAGATAGGACAAAGTTAACATTTAAGAAGTTTATTTCCACTAGAGGTCAGGAAAGACTCTTTGTACATCTGCCCAAATGCATTGTGGGATGAGTTCATTTATTTCCTCTCAATCATCTTATGGTAATTGGTCCAATCTACTTTGGGAAACTCCGTGTTTCTTTTGAGGAAGGAAATAATTGCAAGCAAACAGAAGAAGGTTGATGCTACAAAAGGTTTGGTACTGGGTATTATAGGTCAAGGTAGATAAAAGCCTTACGTTTCCAGTGCTGAGCATTTAGTCCCTGTCACAATAAATAAAAATAATCCTGTCACAATTTTAAGCTGGAATCAAGCCTATTAGAGCACTCTTCCGGCAGGTGGAAGGCGGGGAGTCAAGTTGATTCTCAGCCCAATCTCTATGTCGTGTCGAAAATGAGCTTCCAAGTGAAGGTTAGACTAATCCAGTTTGGGATTAGGAAGAAGAGGGAGTTATGCAGAAGAACCCTGGAAATTACTGATTCTGAAGGGAAGCAAAGATCTAAAGACTTTTGACCAGTAAGGTATTATTGGTCATTTTCCCAGAAAAAAAAAAACAACTGAACATCTTTTTCTCAGATATGATTTGTGCTAAAGCTTTCAAGCTGTGATTTTTGAAAGTACTTTAGACAACAGTAAGAATTTAGCAGGACACTTACACTTTGTGTAAAGTCTTCTTCCCAGTCATTGTCTTTAAACAGAGAATTGTGCCTTGCAGTTCAGCTGCGGAGCCTTTCTTCCTGATAAGATGGTAGAAGTAGTTAATGTACTAAAGCAGAAAAAAATGGATCCATAATGCTGTGCTGGACTTTAAATGCGCTTTTAAGAAGTTAAACGTAGATGAAGCCTGTCATTTACAGCAGCTTAACTCAGCTTTCTTACGTTTATTTATTCAATTAGCATTTACATCCTCACATTGCTACTCCCATTGCCATCATCTCAGAGAGACTGTTCGGAATGTTAGAAGCCAGTTGCTTTGATGCAGCATGGTGAATGAACTCTGTAGAATTGAAGGACATATCCAAATACCATGCTAATATATTTTGCTACTGAAAATAGTCAAACATAGGCAATGTTTGCTTTGTTCTCTGAGTAAAAGCCATGTTGGCATGTGTTAAGCATATCAGGAAAATATTTTATTGCAGAAAACTTTTCATCTTCTACCAACCTTTTTTTTTCTAGAAGTCTATTTGCAGCATGTGATCTTTTTGTTTTTCTTCTAGGAAAACTACATGATTCTGAAGGACCTGTCATTTTCATGCAAATATAAAGTAACTGTTTTGCCTGCAAAATCTAAAGGTCGTTTTAAGGCTGAGAGCATTTTCTTTGTTACCCCACCTTGCTCTGCATTTAAAGAAAAAAACCCCAAGCCCATTAATTGTCCTTCTGAACGAGGTAAGGCAGTAGCCAAATAGTTTCAAATGCATTTATAATCACCAAAAAAAGTCTTTAAAAGCAATTCTAAAATGGGAAATGAAAGATTCAGAACAAATAAACATATGACTAATGCTTATGTGAAAAATCAACTAAAATACAGAGTAGTATAGATTTTGGCTACCACATTACTGTTTTGTCAATTAGGTGATAATTTTAGTGGACTGTTTATAAACGTATGATGACATTTTTTATTACACAGTTTTTATTTTTGTAAGGAGGAACAGTTTCCCAGTTTTTTTCATTATAATGACAGATGATAACTGTAAACATAATTATGCTGGCATGGCCTATCTTCTGAATGTTTTGCTACTGATGCCAGCTACTTTTTCAATTTGATTTTGTTTAGGTTAATTCTGCTCTCAAATAACAAATAAAGGCACTCTTATACCTTTTACAGTGCTGCCACGATGGTAGGTATAGCTAGAGGGTTATGGAAAATTGCAGAATCATGGAGATGTCGGTTGGTAAGGACCTCTGGGGTCAGCTTGTCCAGCTCCCCGCTTGAAGCAGGGCTGTTGTCAGCACTAGGTCAGGTCAGCCATGGCTTTGCACAGCCAAGTCTGGAAACCGCCCTCTTCAGCTAGAGGGTGGCCCTCTCACTTTGAGTCCCCTCAGGGGTACTTCCGTGCTTCGTGGGTCACCTCAGAGTCCTGCTGGCGGTTACTGCTATTTCCTGACCGCCCCTCCTGACAGTTTCCAGTATTACCACCTTATTCCTGGGCAACTGCGACTCAGACATATGTCTCCCCTAATCAGAGTGCCCCTATTAACTTGTACGACTGTTTTAAAGCATGAATTTTACTTTTTGCCTGCATCATGGAGTTCTGTGCTATCCTGTGGGTTTTCTTGTGGTCCCAAAATTGAAAACCGGAGCTCAGGTATTCTGAAATACAGAGGAGCAGCAGGATGGTTGCCTGTGAATAAGGCACTTAGGCCTTTTCAGGCTTTCCTTTCTGTCGCCTGCAGCTGACAGGATTTGATCTGGAGTTTAAATTTGGCACAAAATGCCAATGGAATATATCAAAGATAGGCTTTGGTTAACACTGAAAATGTGATGGCAGAAAGCTGGCAGGATCCTGGGTAACACCAGAAAGAGAGCTCTGTCTGACCTTGATTTGTGGAACGAAATGAACATTATTGAACGTTATCTCTCAAAGTTTAGCTTATCTTTTTGCTTTCCAAATTTATAGTGCCAGTTCTACCCAAAGTGTTGGCCAAACCCGAGAATCTATCTGCGTCTTTCATTGTCCAGGAAGGTAACATCACTGGTCATTTTTCCTGGAAGATATCTAAGGCAGACCTTCACCAGCCCATGACAGGGTTTCAAGTCACTTGGGCAGAAGTAACCACAGAAAGCCGGCAGAACAGCTTACCCAACAGCATCATTTCCCAATCGCAGATACTGCCAGCAGTAAGTTGTTACTTTCCTTTGCTCGCGGCTTCATAAGTGTGTGCGTATGTGGCCTATTTTTAATGTTTAGTGGTGATGCAGATGTCACACATAGCGTTCTCTGGCTCTGCAGGCAAGTTGGAGCAGGAAGTGCTTAATTTTTCCTCCTTGCTGGAGAAACAAAGCACAGCTATTTTTCTTGATGACACATCAAACATTTTAATGTTCACAATTGTCAAATTAGCAACCATTGTCTGAGAGATGCCTGAAGGGAGGAAAAGATCATCTGTGTGGCAATAGATAGTTTTTATTTTCTTTTGATGATCAGACTGTTCAACTTGGCGGTTACTATAGTTTTACTAATTATTTGGTGTCCAAGTTGATGGATTTAAGAGATTTTTCTTTTCCTTTGAGTCACTCATTGCTCTAAGAAAAATAAAAATCAGTTCCCCCTCTGCCAATATGCACCATTGTCTGACAATTTAAAGGAGAACTAGATTTCACTGTTTATTGAAAGTGTGAGAATTAACAATTTGAATTCTTCCCCCTATTTGCTTTAAGACGGCCTTTGCTATTTCAGTTCCTCCTCTGGCTGAGGCAGGTGAAGAGCACTTCATTCAGACTCTGTTGTCAGATCACCAAAGTCAACAAAAGGGCTTAAGTAGCTGGCCTTGATCCAAAGTCAGCTAACAATGTTGGGAGTCTTTCCATTCACTTCAGGGAAGTGGATCAAGGTGATTATGTCTAGAGCAGAGCTAGCTGAAAATCTTTTCACAACATTCGTTTAATCAAAGAACGTGTCAAATGTTTTGTTGGACACATCTTACATTCAACACAAATCCAAGGCCAGGTTCTCACCATTCTGTCTTAATTCCTAGCAGACTGTCTTAAGGCTAGGGCACCTGTGTTTCAAAGCCTGTTGTTCTGGGGGAGAGCAAAAAACTTGACCGCGATGCTCTAAAACTATGGGGCAAGCTACCATGCAGTGTGCAGAGCTGTTTTGTTACAGCTTAGTACAGACCCAGTGTGATCTGCACCAATTCACTCAAAGCTCGACCCACAGTCCAGAGCGGAAGGATGGTGCAGATACAGCCTTGGTCTCTTCAGCAAGCCACATTGCAAGATTACCTGAAGTGGTTACTCAGTCACAGGCCTTTGGCTGCAAACAACCACTTGATCATAATGATAAGCAAAGTTACAGACCATGAGATGTTACTTTTCACATCAGTGTTCATCTTTTTTTTTTTAGGAGCAGGCGTATGTTTTATTCAGAATTTATATTTCTTTTTTTAAGCTTTTGGTCCAGTTAGGTCTGAAATATATATAAAGTTGTATTTAAAACAGTCCTTTGCATTGTGTTATGCTTTAATTTTTTATTTTTGTTTTCCTTTGTTTTCAGTACTGTAGAGCCTGGAGATTCCTTTTATTTAATTATCTATCACTATATGTATCTCTCTGTCTATTTATGGCAACTGGTTAAGAAAACTCTGGTTTGAGCTGAAACAGTGTCTCTACCTCTCAGAAGCCACCAGAATGTAGGGTATTTTACAGTGAGGATCATTCGTTCATTCTCGTTGGTAGCCTCTGACTGATAAAAATCTACTGTTTACACAACAGGGGCTGAAACCCACAGTTCCCAGCTGCCAGAGGAGCGCCTGAATGGGCAGAGAGAGTGTATGAGTGCGATGTATGCACTCCTCTCTCTCTCCTACCCATTCAGTATGTTATACAAGGTGGAACAGCTTCAGCAAGGTCTATTAAGAGCAGCCCCATCTCAGAACACATGCTAATTTGGCAGTAAACCCACACATTTCCCCCCACCTTTTCTCTCTCTCCTTTCCCCTTTATGTCTGCTCTGGCAGTAACAGCAAATTATGAGTTATTCCCACAGTCCGCTTAGGTGCCCCCACATGGCACTGGGTGCAGTGCCAGCCAGAGGAAATTGCCCTGCAAATTCCTGGCCGGCCCAGCCTGGCTGTTCGCAGGAGCATGCCGTGCCCGCACTGTCTGGCGTCACTGCCCTGCTATCCCCTTCCCGGGACTGGTCTTTTTCAGCTTGGAATAAGGTGAATCAGGACTTTTGATTCCTTAATGCCCTTCCGTCTTTAGTCAGATGCATTCCCATTTGGGAGCATTTATAAACTCACTCTGAAATTATTTTGCACAGGTGTAAGTGACCACGCAAGGTATGGAGCAGTGAAAATTGAGGCCATCATGCCAAAAATGGGATTAAGAACAGAAGGGCAGATTCTCATGGTGTAATTGGGACAAATATGCTGAAATCTGTGTATCCACACTTATTTTCACTAGCTGCAGCAGGGGGGCAGACCTGCAAATTGCCATGAATTAATTTACCAATTAGTGGAATTCACAGAGAGATCCAAAATAAAAGCAAGTTTATATAATGAACATGTTTATTAAAAAGAATGATTAGGAAGTTAAAATTCTCTTTTTTTTCTACTGGTAAGCACATCATCCATTTTAAAGAACACTAAGGAACAACTTGGACCTCTTACACACAAAACCATAACATTATGGTAAAAAAGTATGTTCAAAGGCAATGGCAAGCAAAAAATTCAAAACAAACCCTCTCAACAAAATGATGCATACATTAAATCCTTTTCACAGAGTCCTAAGAAAATAATTTGTGGATGCTGAGAGTGACAGAACCTGTTCAAACCACTGCTTTGTGTGAGTAGATCAACTATGTTTTATTTTTAGTTCCTCTGAGAATTAACGCGATTTATTTATTTTTAGGATCATTATGTACTTACCGTGCCCAATCTGAGGCCATCGATGCTGTACCGCTTGGAAGTTCAAGTGCTGACAACTGGTGGGGAAGGACCAGCTACAATAAAAACGTTCCGAACACCCGACCTTCCTCCATTTTCACCCCACAGTAAGTAGTACCCTCTTTTGACATGTGGTTACGTGTTACAGAACTTCAGTCCTCCACATGTAAACAGCTAGCTCAAGCCTTAGAGTCTTTATTGGTTCCAGTAGCATTCCATGAATTTAAGACGCATGAAAATATTGGGTTTTTTCTCCCCATAACTGTCCGTCAGCGATGATGGAAGCAAATGCAGTCTTTCTCTCACTCAGTTTCTGTGGTCAGACATTTGCCATTCATTCTACCACAGCTCTTTGGCTTATGCCTATAGCACTTGGGATTCAAAGATGGTCTGTCCTCCAAGTACCACCTAGGCCTGGGATTGCTTAGCTTTCAAGATTAGATTTTTCTGGGTGCATTCAGTCCAGCACGGCTACAGCCTCAGATCATATTTCTAAAGCAGTGCAGACTTCTTAATGGCCATTTCCAGCATTTTATAAGTTTCTGAAAAGTACAGCTCAATGATGTGAAGCTCAACAAAAAATAGAATCAATTGTCCAAGATTCATCTGCTTGAATCCTTTTGTCCTTTCACAGTCACTAAAGTTGTTTGGACTGAACACGCACATAGTTGTCGGCACAGGCAGTTCACTTACAAGTTGAAGGATTGCAAGCTGAAGGCCTCACGAAGACTTTTTAGTACGGATAAACGATGGTGTTACATATGCAGGGATTGATATGTGCATATTTTCCTATTCTTTTGTTTAGGACCTCATCTGAAGCGACATCATCCACATCATTACAAGCCACCCCCAGAGAAATATTAGACTGTTTCAGATGATTATACAAATAACTGAGAAAAACTGAGCTCCCAAGCGGAGGCTAGGAAAAGGCACATCTGCAGGAGCAATGAACCCAGTTTTCAAGTGGAAGTTGCCATCCTGTACGATCTGTATCTACTTTGTAGCTTAGCCATGACAGATTGTATTTGCACCAAGGCCAGGATGAAACATCCAGCAAGTATCATTTCAGTACCACCACTATTCAACAAACTGAAGATTGCATCCAACTCAACACCTGTGAGAAAATCAAAAGTGTGTTCATTATAATGTTTTTGTATTTCTGTGTTTAAAGTAGATTGAAACGGTGGAGTGTATACAGCTTTTTCTCTTAGTGACTTCAATGTCAATGTTTGCAAGGTTGTCCTGTGATGTATACATACTTTTGAACACTGGAGGCCATATTCGCATCAGCCTGTTTAAATGATCTGTTTTACTTAAAGTTCTGCCTGTCACCAGTTTAAGCCCTAGGTATTTTGCTATTAAAGAAGATCTCCATATGTCTGAAATAAGGACATAAATAAAATAAATACCAGTAGCAGAAACCCTAAAATAGTCAGTATTTAATAATTGCAGTATCACCACCGAGGAGAATGATGATACATTTTTATCAATCATCTGCTCTGAAATGGTAATGTTTTAGCATGTATATCTTCTATTAACATAGTTAATAGCTAAAAAATATACAGGGTAGATGTGCCATTGTAAAGAAACAAACGACAATTAATAGAATTGTTGAAAATCTATGCCAATTAATACAATTAATTGATAGGGCCTGGAAGAATGACTTTTAAAATCCCACTTACAATTTTTTGGTATATAATATTTCAAGGTATAATAATATCTTGAAAATAAACACTGATTTTCTAGTTAAAAATCTGAATAGTTAACATGAGCATTTTAGAAATTGAAATTTTGAGGCATGTTTATTATTCAAGTAGGCGTAGAGCTACTTTTTGGCTTTGGCTTTTGATGCATGTATCTCTTTTCCCCGTGGATCTTTTGAACAGAAGGATGGATGTATTGGCTCCATGCTATTCTGCTTACAGAAAGAATTATGTGACAATATTCTGGCATCTGGAAAACATTGGCTTATAGTTTATTTGAATGCATTTTTCAAATTTAGACAGAAGGGTGCCCTTTTTAACCATAAGGGAATTCATATTGCCTTATTGTGCAATATAAACTGTCTAGAATAATTTGCCACACAAAGAGACGTCCTTCAATAGTAAACAGAAACTGCTTGGATTTTTTATTGAGAGAGTGGAAAGTATCTGCCAATAAATGTCCATACAAATACTCATAATCAGCTTTTCATGTTCAAGATGTTGAAAGTGCTCCTGCATTCTTTGGCACAGGTTCCATTGCTCCCTGATCCATTATCATATGATGAGGCTAACGGAGCTCAAATGCTTAGTAGTCAAACTTGATAAGGTGGCCACTTTTTCTACCAGCAGATGCTACAGACTCACCTGTACTTCCTATTTGCCTGAGATATTCAGTGAGAGGAGCTCAGACATTAGTGGTAGATATGTTTTCCTTCTCTTGATGACAAACTGTTCTGTGGAAAGCAAAAATGGAGAGAAGAAATACATACCTGAAACTGAGGATCAGAGTTATGTTTATTGTAGTAGAGCATTCACAAAATATTCAAATACAGTTTGTCTATACTGAAGTTTATAACTTTTTGCTTCATATGGGTTGATACCACAGGGGGTGAAGGAAACAATTAATTTCTGATCACTTGCTCGTTCCAGTTTTCCTACTTTTCTACCTTTGGTTTTAAAGGACTCTTTTTTGCCATTCTCTTTCTACTTTGCTTGTTGTCTTTTTTGATACGCACTCAGTGACCAAGAACTTTTCCAGAAAATTTCTATCGCTACATGGTTTGGGCCTTTAACAGTAGTTTTAAAAATATTAAAGGCTATGGTGCTTTTAATTCCTTCCTCTATCATTCTGTCATCTCCGCTTTTCCAAAATACATTAGCAAATAAACAGATGAACTCTTCTTCATAAAATCTGTAGTATAAAGGTTTATTTTCAATTTTGGCAGAAGGCCAGAGTCTCAGAGACTTTTGTCGGGATGGAAATGTTTCATGTGTATGTCGTGTACAAAGAAAACACAATTTGAATCAGACCGATGTGCAGCACTGCTTTGACAGTTAGATTGCACAGGGCATGGGTAAGGTTAGAAGTGATCTCTGTGATGTTTGCTGAGAGCAGGACTCGGTGGGATCAGGGAAAGTAACTACGTCAGGCTTCTCTGAAAACTTCTGTCCAAACCTTTCAATCACAGTCTATTCTAGTTATGCTGGAGCAAATCTGTAGTGACTTGATTAATGTTAATGAAATTATGTTTCGTTCATAGTGACATGGTAAAGCATAGAACATGGATGTCAGTCTTTATTACAATGATGCCAAATCTGGCTTGGAGATAAACTGGAAGTGATCATACAGCCCTGAGTGATCATTTAGTCTTGGTTCCTGAGGGGAAGCCTCATTCTTCTGAAATGAATCAAAATGGTTACTGTTTGCTGATGCCAGTCTCTTTGAAGCTTTCAACTTTTAAAAGTAACAATGTACTTTTGAAGAACATGGAGGGGTTTTCCCTTTTAAAGTAGATTCTGGAAATCAAAAAAAAAAGTTGATAAAGTAGAACTGTATTGAACAAGTGTATTTATATAGAGTCCACTAAGATGTAGATTATTTTTTTCCTTCTACAGCTTATCAACTCACCTTTCAAGTCACCCTCCAAATCAAAAATGAAAAATACAAGGTCAACAAAGTTCATGCATGGATGTTAAATTCCCAACTATGAGTGATTTCCTGATTATTCTTTGAATTTCGAAGTACAGATTTGAAGTTGTTAGTGCCTAATTCATAAAGCCTTGTTTGCTGAATTGTACAGGGTATTGTCCTAATTTACAAGCCTAAGTCACATTAAGCATTTAATTTGGCAATAGAGTTGTAATTCACTACTTGATTCACTAGTTAAAGATTTATTTTCTCTAATGATGTTGTGTAATACAGAGTTAATATAGATATTGGGATGTTTTTAGATATTCTACACCTTTACACTAACGTATTATTTGCTATGTACGATTCTGATGGATTTGTCAGTTGACTTCAGGATGCATTTTGTTGATCTTTATTTCTTAAAGGATAATTATAAGATTATACCATTTTTGCTAACTACTTTGTGAAGTGGATTTTTCTTTGTTCATTGGTGATTTTTGTTTAAGAAGAGAACGGTTTGTTCTTGTTATATCTTTTTTGACCATTTTTGAGTTGTTTACAGAGCAGGAGAAATTCAAATAAGACAGAGCTTGTGATGTACTACTATGTGTATCATCTTGGATATTCATTAAGAATATAGTACATAGGCAATAAATAACAGGTCTGACTTCTGAAATGCTGAACAACCTCAACTTAGTGGCTTCAGAAGGAGCTGAGGACATGGTGTGGCAATCCTAACATTGACATTAATGCCTGGCATGATCACACACAAAATCAAAGAAATACTTATTGCTAATGTGAATGGGAATTTTAGCATTGGCATTAGCAGAAATGTATAGAAACCTAAATACTGAGTCAATTTATTCCAGAATACTTTCATGTCCATTTTCCCAACTGGAGTCAGGGAGAGTTTCAGATAAGCAGGCCCTGATTGAGGAAGGTATGCAGAAGAGGAAGCTTCCATATGCACAAAATAAGTCAGTGGGATGGAAGTAAACCTTTGCAGTTAAGAATGAACTTTAGTGATGTCTCAAGTAAAGCATGGATATCAAAATTTGCTTGAATGCTGTCTTAAATCAGGGCCTTAAAGAACAAAGTGTGGTACCCAGACAGTTCTAAATTCTGTGTACAACACCATAAAAAATTTTATTTTTGTCTTGTGTATATGTAAATGTAGTTGTGATATTGACTTATTTATTAATTCATCTTCTTACACTATGTGCCAAGTATATTCCTACCCTTTTGATCAGTACCTGTGAACATCAATTACTAAAAATAATGTTATGCAAACTTGTGCATTGTAACCAGGAATATGATGCTAATAAGCTGTTGCATGTAGTTTTAAATAATTAAGAAAACCCTTTATTTAAAAAATGTAAATGAATACCTGCAGATGTTGATGATTATATATGGTTTTGCATGCCAAAACTCATTGTTCAGTTGTGGGCATGAAATGTAACGACTGTATTACCTCTACTGAATATATTAGTAAGGTACAATTTACAAAGTAATCAACAGAGCTCTATATGTAAAATTTTTCCTTTTTACTTAATTATATTGTAGTAGAGGTAACAGAACTGCTTCTCTGTTACCCAAATTGGCTGTAGAAATTATGTTCCTATAACACTCATTTAAAGTCAATATTTATTTATGTATGTAATACAAAAAGGTTGGTCTTACGTGTCTGTCCTGTTATTTAGAGAAAAAAAATACACTTCTTGTAAAAAATAATTTGTAAAAAAATGTAAATGTAAATAGAGTCTGATTTCTTTTACTCATTATTTTCATGTTTAGAATTTGTACATACTGTTCAGGTAATAAACTATCCTACATCGAAATCTTGCTACATTATCTACTCCATACAGAATTTATAGTTTTGTTGTTCTTAAGTTGAAAGCATAGAGTCATCTAAGAAAAATCAGTGTCACGCCAAGTACCTTTGCTACTTTACATTTCATTGTGTATAGCCATAGCATTTTATCCTCCTTTTACTACAGCATTTTGTTTTCTTTAGAAAGCAGTCAAAATAATCTGAAAATAAATTTAGATATTATTTGAGTCTTTTATCTTGAAAAGCAATCCTTGAAGTAAAAAATTAGATGCAAGAACTTGCCATCCCTTTCTCTGTTTTAATGGAATAGTTCACAGTGAAGATTTGTTCACCCTTTGTAGTACTAACTTAAAATAATTAAAATGTTGCTGGATCTGTGTCAGTGGCCTGATCTTGCAAGTCAAGATTTTAATGATTGAAAATCATGGTGAAATCTATGTATACACCAGATTTGGAAGATTCTCTATTTTAAAGTGCCGTATCCCATGATTTAAATTTTATATTTTTAGTAAATAGAAATATCTGTCTTAATACAAACATTTAACTGTTTCAAATTGTCATAGATGTGCTATCATTCTCAGATGCGATATCTTTAGTTTGGGGATGAGCCTTTGACTTACTCTTGACTTAC